ATTGCATTAAGTATTGCAAGTAACCTAGAGTGATCTAAAGTCCGTAGGGAGATGTGCGGAAGTTATATGCAAACACCACACCCTTTTCTACAGGACACTTGAACATTGGTGGGTTTTGTCACCCAGAGACACTCTGGGACCAATCTCCTCAGGATATCAAGGAATCAGTGTACAAATTGTAGCATATTATATAATAGTGTGATGTATGTATGCACGTATGCAATATTGGTGATAAAACCCAGGGCCTAGTGCTTGCTAGGCAAATGCTGTACTATGGAAGCCACACCCCAGGCTTTTTTTTTTTTTTTTGGTACAGGTAGGGATTGAACTCTGGACTTAGCGCTTGCGAGGCAGGTGCAGTGACACTGAGCTAAATCCTTGGCCCATCCCAGACTTTTTTAAAAAATTAAACTGAGTTGCCTAGGCTGGCCTACCTTGAACTTGCAATTCCCTGCTTTTAAAAATCAGTCCATGTTTAAATTAAACAAAAACTGAGTCCATGTTTACAGTACACGATGATTCCATTCGTCATGGGGAGGTGGAAACTCATCTCAATTCTTTTTATTCACCTTTCCCTCTTCGGCCTCTCCCTCCCTCCATCTCTAGATCCTCTGCATTTACAGAAGAAGATCTATCTTCCTGTTTCCTATATGCCTATATCTATCTTATTTTTTTCTCTTTAAATTTTGTATGCTTTGGGTTTCTCATATGAGAGAAACATACTCTAGAAAGGACAGAAGAGCGACAGAGAAAAAACTATGTTGGCACCAGGGTCTCCAAGTCCTGTGTCTTCTGGGTTTTGTATGTACACAGGCAAATACAGTGGACCCTTGATTTACGAACTCATTGTGTTCATGAGGGTTGGTTCTAACTCAAGTTGGTTGTAAGTCAAGACCATTTTCCCCATAAGAAATAAAGGAAATATCCAGAATGTGTTCTGAACCTCCCAAAGCACCCTTAACTAAACTTTTCTTTCTTTCTTTCTTTCTTTAATTTTGGTACTGGGGATCGAACTCAGGTCCTTGTGCTTATGAGGCAGGCATTGAACTAAATCCCTGGCCCCTAATTAACCTTTTCCTAATTAAAAAAAGTTGTATAATGTGCATAGTTTACCAGAAACACCAATAATCTGCCTAGTTAGTGTATTCACCAAAAAGTTATAAAATGTGCCTAGTTTACCAGAAACAACAATTTCATACTGTTCTCAACATTTAAGTTGACTTCTTTGGCTTCTGGGAAGGGAGGATGAAATGGAAGGTGGTTACTGTTTGGAAGGAGAGTTCTCTTCCATAAGAACATCAGGAATCTTGCCCTATGGTGTCCTTTCTCTCTTGGGAGAGTCTGTAGCCCACTAGGACCTGCTTCTGGCTCACCAGGTCTCCACCTTTTCTAGATCTAAAAACTGGTCTAAGGTTGTCTGTTTCTGCCTTTTTCCTTTTTTTTTTTTTTTGTCTTCTGCCTTTTCTTTAACACTGCTGTGTAGTATGACGTGACGTCACCACTAAGCAAGTGAATGCAACTATTGGCCTTTTCTTTGTCTGGCTGGGTCTCCTCTACAACTGTTTGCAGCTCTGTCCATTTTTTGAGGATTTCCTTTATTTTGCTACACTGATTGATGATGCTTGTCCTCTTCTTCAGAAAGCTCCTCGGCTGCCGTTCTCTGTTGGTCAGCCAGAAGTTGCTGAGGTTCCTCTGTAGACAGCTCCTCCACCAGTTCCGACTCTGCCATAGCCACAGTGTCATCAACCACAGGGTCAGGTGAAGGCTCAGGCTCCTCTACACAGTCTTGAAGTTCTCTCCTGTATAACTTCCTTTCTTTCAGGCAGAGCTCAGCATCCTTAGAGAGACACTGGCCCAGGATTTCTCAATTAATCTTACACAGGAAAGGATGTTGTAATGTTCTTTCCATAACTCTTTAAGGGATAAATCTGTAGCTGAGACCACCTGGAAGCACTTCAGGAACAGTTCCTTGGTGTACAGCTTCTTAAAGTCAGCTATAACCTGCTGGTCCATAGGCTGCAGAAGAGGAACTCGACTGAGAGCCATGGGAATTGTTCGGCCAATTTTTCTTCCAAATCTCATGGCTGCACAGGAGCATTGTCCATGAGGAGAGCCTTGAGGGGCAAACCCTTGTCTTCTACATATTTCTTAACAGTAGGATAGAAAGCCTCCCCAGTCCACTCAAGAAAAATCACTCTTGTTACCCAGGCTTTTATGTTTGATCTCCAAATGACACCTAGCCTTTTCTTCATGTCTTTATGTTTTCTGAACGCTCTAGGGGTCTCAGAGTGATAAACCAAGAGAGGCTTTATCTCAAGGTCATCACTCGCATTGGCACATAGCAATAAGCTTAGCCTATCCTTCATAGGCCTGTGGCCTGGCATTTTCTTCTCTTCCTGGGTAATGTATGTTTTCTTGGGATTTTCCAGAAAAGGCCATTTTCATCACAGCTGAAAACCCGATGACAGCAAAAGCCATTGCTCTGTGTCATTGTTTTGAAGTGCTGTATGTAATTTTCAGCAGCCCTTTAATCAGCACTGGCTGCTTCACCATGCCTAGTTATGCTGTGAACCCCAGTTCTCACTTTAAAATTGTGCAACCACCCCTTACTGGCATGAAATGTTTCACCATTATCACTCATCGATGGATAACACTTTATGAGATCTGTGTTTATAGATCCAGCTTTTTCACAAACTATAGACTCAGATAGGCTATGGACCTGCCATCTGCCTTTCATTTATCCACACTAATAACAGCCTTTCCACCTCATCTAACACTATTGATCATGACTTACTAATTTGAGTAACACTTTTAGAAGCACTAGCTCCCTCATACAAATCTTTTCTCTGTAAGATTGTCGAGATGGTGGGTTTCAGTATGCTGTACATATTAACAAGATTGTTCACAGAAATACCACTCAATTTCTCCACAATTTCCTTCTTCTTTTCCATTGTGATTACTTTCTTTACCTTCTCTTTCTTCCTTAGCTTCTTTTCTAGCTTTTTTGGGGCCATTTTGATAGCAGTAATTGTAACGATTATATAAACATGGACTGAAATCATGTCCACAAACATGTGCACCTGTGCTCAGACTGATGCTTATGTATGCTTTTCTATGATTATCTGGCATCAGGAGTCTTTGTTTACAACTGCACAAACAGCTGGCATTTGACTTTAGTCATAAGTTAAAACTAAAAGTTCTATTGTAACCCATTGTTAATATGTGAGGTCAGTCATAACTCAAGGGTCCACTTGTATGTGGAAAGCCTCTTTGCCTCTCAGATACCAGATGAACCATTTGCCTGGCTACCTGAAGAGCTCCTGCCATGGGGCACAGAAAGGAGGCCCAGGAATACCATTGATGTCTTTTGCTGGGCTCCTTGGTTGTTTCTAGTCTCAAGGTGTGGCAAGCAATAAGAAGCGTGTGCCATTTGTCACATAGGCAAATATCAGAAGGCCCTGATTCTAGAAGCAGATTTCTGCATCAAGCAGGGAAAGGCGAACACAGACTTTGGAATGTCACAGACCTGGGTTCAAATCTCACTTCTGAGCTGGGCCTGGAGGTGCTCACCTATAATCCCATTCCTCTGGGAGGCTGAGGCAAGAGGACTGCAAGTTTGAATCCTGTCTAAGCAATTTAATGACTTAGTGAGAATTTATCTCAAAATAAAAAAGAAATAAAAAGGGATGGGCATATGGCTCAGTAAGAATGCACCAGGTTCAGTTCCTAGTGATGTACACACACATACACACACACGCGCGCGCGCACCGAAAAAACCCTCAGTCCTTCCTGTTTTAATACTGTTGCATTGAGCTTTATTTGATACCTGCATTTCTTTAATGGGAGGGAGCTGAGATAGTAGGAAAGGAAGAGAATTTACAGTACGTGGTGTGTGTGCTCTGATCCCTTCCATTCCCCACTGGGAGACCCACGCACAGCAAAGGACAGGGATGTGAACCGCAGATGTCCCCAGTCCCTTTGTGTCACAGTCCCGGGAGAATCTCAGTGCACAGAATGAGATTTTGGTGCTCAAAGACACACCGTTTTGAAACAAGGAGGTCTCTGAGCACCAGCCCGTAACTATCACCCGGACGCCGCAGGAAAACCAGCTGCCTGCCCCCAGCTTTGGGAAACCAGCCGGGCTGCTGCCCAGGGCTCAGTGTACACCGTCAGGCACTGCGATCCTATGTGATTTTTGCCTGATAGCCGCGGCTGACTTAGAGCCGATTCCCTTTTGAAAGTATAGGAATCTGTGAAGTCGGCCCTGTGACCTTGGGTAAGAGATGCATGTGATGCAAGCTTTCCAAGTCTCAGTGGCCTGGCTGTAAATTGCAGCCGTCCACATTTTCCTGTTTTTCTTTATTTTGTGTGTATGCGTGGCACTGGAGATCAAACCCAGTGGTGTTCTGCCACTGAGCTACATCCCCAGCCTTTTAGTTTTTGTTCTGAGACAAAGTCTTGCTAAATCTCCCAGTAGGGCTGGGACTTGAGATCCTCTTACTGTGGCCTTGGTAGTAGGGTGTGCATCACCGGGCCTGGCTCTCTGTTTTTGTTTTTCCAATAAATTTCCCATCATCCATCTACGTCCCTCCCCCGACCATCTGTTCCCTTCCTAATGAACTCATCAGTGGCGCAGTCTAGTCAGGCCCTTTTTGGGTGCCGAACTGGACCACTGCTGCCCTAAGGTGCTCCCCACTTCTCACAGAGGAGAAGACTCCCTTACCATCCATCCCCAGGTGGGATGCGGGGAGGCCTGTTAACGGCGGCACACAGGTGAGGGCTCTCCCTCCCAGAGCTGCCTGGCTTCCGACGGGAGTCTCTTCATGTCTCCCCGTCTGTGTGTCCACGGGGCTGGGCCTTGGCCCCGCTATTTCTGAGTCCAGGTGAGGCTCCTGGGCTCCGTGACTGCTTTCACCTGCAATCCCCACGCTCAGGGAGGACGCCAGCCTCAGGATCCGTTAGCACCCGCCGAGCAGACCCTGTGCTTGTCCCCTTCCCAGGGAGGACCCATGGCGCGTGGCAAAGATGGTCAAGTCCTACCTGCAGCAGCACAACATCCCACAGCGGGAGGTGGTCGACACCACCGGCCTCAACCAGTCCCACCTGTCCCAGCACCTCAACAAGGGGACGCCCATGAAGACGCAGAAGCGCGCCGCCCTGTACACCTGGTACGTCCGCAAGCAGCGAGAGGTGGCGCAGCGTAAGTACGACCCAGCCGAGTCCTCCCTGCAGGGGTCAGGCCCTTCCTGGCTGCGGTGGGGCTGCGACTTCTCACCCTTCCTTGAGCAGACAGGAGGGCAGCGGGATTGCACGGTGCGGAGGGCAGAAGGGTTGGCCTCTAAAGATGGATGTCTTCATGTCCACCTTCCACACAACAGTAGAGCTGCTGTTTAAGGCGCGTTTACTCTGTGCCAGGCCCAGTGCAGAGTACTAAAGTATTTCTAAGTGAACAGGCTGGGGTGGGAATGGTACTTTCTTCTACTTCAGGGACGCAGACAGCTCAGGAAGATTCATACCGGAAGCACAACCTGTAGTTTAGGTCTTACAGTGTGAGTCTAATTTTGACCTACAGAGACACAGGGAAGGCTGTTCCAAGCAGGACAAACAGTGTGAATAAAGGCTCAAAAACAAGGTGCACACTCAGGGAACCTCTGCCACAAACCCAGGAAGAGTTGGGGGCACTATTGCCCTGTTTGTGGTGAGTTTCTTTATTCAGGCCTCTGTTTTGTTTTGTTTTTTTAGACAGGGTGCATAGTTCAGACTGGCCTTGAACTCACTATGTAGCCCAGGCTGGCCTCAAACTTGTAGCAATCCTCCTGCCTCAGCCTCCCGAGTGCCAGGATTACAGGCATGTGCCACCACACCCAACTTTTCCATTTTTAAAAACTGGTTATGGGGATTGAATCCAGAACTGGGAATGGAACGCAGGGCCTCATGTTTACTCAGCAAATGTTCTACCACTGAGGTATACTCCCATCTCTTTAAAACTGTTTATTTTGAGACAAGGTTGTACTAATTTGCTCAGGCTGGCCTCAAACCTGTGGTCCTCTCACCTCAGTGCATCCCTTTCCCCCAAGTAGCTGAGATTCTAAGCATGCACCACCTACTGGCTAATTTTCCAGATTTTGGAAAAAGCAAATAGCACTTGCTTTAAAAAGGAGATGAACTGGGCATGGTGGTTCATGTCTATAATCCCAGCACTCTGGGAAGCTGAGGCAGGAGGATAGCTTCTTTGAGTCCAATCTAGGCAATTTAGTGAAATTCTGTCTCACAATAAATAAAAAGAGCTGGGATGCATTTCAGTGTGAGGGCCCTGGGTTCAATACCTAGTACAAAAACAAAGCCCCCTCCCCCAGAAAAGCAATAATAAAACAAAACATACAAAAGCAACAAATAAAAACAAAGCAAAACCAGGGCTTGGATTTAGCTCAGCGGTGCTGTCACCTGTCTTGCAAGTGCAAGGTCCTGAGTTCTATCCCTGGTACCAAAAAGTCCCCCAAAACCAACAAAAAAAACACGGCAAAACCGAATAGATGTCCTTCCTCTAATCAGCCACTGGCAACTCCAGGCTCTCGGGTGGCCTTCAGAGAGAGTTTATGCACACACCAACTACTGATTTTTTTTTTTTTTTTTTTTTTTTTTTTTTTTGGTACCGGGGACTGAACCCAGGTCCTGGAGCTTGGGAGGCAGGCTGCAGAATCACTGAGCTAAATCCCAGCCCTAGATATGCTTTTTTAGCTCATGGGAACATAGTACACATGATGTTTGGCACTTTGTTTTTTTTCTTCTTAGTAATAAATCTTGTACATCTTTTCACATAGGTATTAACAGACGAGTTAACTTTATTCATTTTAGGGGCTGCTGGTTACCATTTTCAGGTGCCGTGATTTGTTTAACTGGCCACCTACCAAAGGACTTTTGTGGGTTTTCCAGTCTGCGGTTACAAAGAAATCCTTACTTATATGAGCTCATACTCACATGTGAACCTGTCCGTAGGAGAAATTCCCAGAAGTGAAATGCTGGGTCACAGAGGAGGAACTTTATAATTCTTGATAGACATAGGAATGGTGGAGCACGCCTGTGGTCCCAGCTACTTGGGAGGCAGAGGCAAGAGGATTACAAGTTCAAGGCTAGCCTGGGCAACTTAGTAGAGACCCTGCTTCAAAAGAAAAAAAAAGGGAGGGGGGCTGGCAGTGTAGCTTAGTGGTAGAACACTTGCCAACACGCATAAGGCCCTGTGTTCGATACCCAGCACTGAACCAGAAAGGCAGTACCAATCGATACATCCATAAACAGTACAGACCACTGTAAAAAAAATTAATATGGAACATATAATTAATATAGAAAGATTTGTAATATCTGTTATTAATATAATAGACATTTCTTGATTCTTACTTACTCCATGTCTACTACTCTTTACCCCAGTTATTGTAGGGTTTGCTCTTTTTGTTTGTTTGGTTTTGAAGACAAGGTCTCAATATGTAGTTCAGGCTGGCTTTGAACTCACTCTGTAGCCGAGGCTGGCTTCAAACTCACAGTCCTCCTGCCTCAGCCTCCTGAGTGCTGGGATTACAGGAGTGTGGGTTCAACCCACTTGGCGGGTTCACTTTCTACTGACAGTAATACACACTCAGAAAATAGTACATAACAGTACTCGCTGGTACTGTTTTCACTTGTAGGAGAAGAGTAGATATTTACTTTGGAAATCAGTTGGACTGGGTTTAGCTTCTGAGAGACTTCGATGGTCTTCTCTCAAAACCATCACTGGAAGAAAATTTACATCTCACAGGAAGTACATTTTCCCGAAGAGTTAGAAATGTAATCCAAGAGTTCAGCCTGGAGCTGAGAAGAAAGTTGCAAACTATGGCCAAATATCTATTCCCTGAGAATTTTTAACTTTAAAAGAGAAATGGGAGGATTTGGGGTGCAGCATATTTAAAATACGCCTGAATGATTAGGACTCTTTCACTAACAAGGGCCAGGGCCCAGGGATGTAGCTCAGTGGTTCCAAGGACTCAAATTCAATCCCCAGTACCAAAAACAAAACAAAAAACAAATGAGCTAGTAGTACAAACTCTTAGATTTCTTCCAACTGAGGATATCTTGACTTTCTCTTCCTTATTGAAAAATACTTTCCTAAAAAGTACTAATAAATTCAATGAAAGAAAAAAATGCAAATTTGATGAATTAATATTAACAACAACAACAACAACAAAAAAGGTCAGAACCCCAATTCAAACAGATTTAAACAACAACGAAGAATCTATTGGCTCAGGAATGTGAGTTCTGGGCTGATTCACGCACTGCTAGACCCAGGGTTTCAAATGACATCTGCACAGCATTCTTTGGTTGTTTTTTCCTCTTAGGGCTTCTCCCTCTAACTCACTCTCCTCATACTGGCAGGGGGTCCTCCAGCTCCGGGTTGCCATCCTACCAGCCTAGCAAGCCCAGAAGGAAAGAACTCCTCTTTTCAGATACTTTCAGCTCAGCGGACTCTTTCTAGTTTTAATAATGTAAACTTTTAAGTGAAGTCTAATGTAGAAACAGTGAACAAATATTAAGCGTACAGCTCAGTGAATTCCACAGTGAACGCACCAGATAGAACTACCAACCCAGTAAAAAGTGCACTGCCAGTCATCTGCCTTGCAAGTGAAGGACCTAAGTTCGATCCCCGGTATCAAAAAACAAAAACAAAAAAGTGCACTGCCAGCTCCCCAGTAGCTCCATCCCTGCTCAGTAGGAGGCATTCCATAATCCTGGGCCCGGGATTTAGCTCAGTGGTTCTGCTGCCTGCCTTGCAAGTGCATGGTCCTGAGTTAGATGCCCGGTACCAAACAACAACAACAACCCTGCCTTCTGTCATCATAGGCTAATTATGGCTGTCTTTGAAGTTTATACAAATTGAATTATATAATACAGCAGCTTTTTGCACTCCATATGTTTGTGGATTTATTCACGTGGCTCCTTGTCATTATAGATTGGCCATTCTCATTGCTGTATATGAATATTCCATTGTGTGGATACAATATACTATTATTTCTTCTTCGATGGACATTTGGATTGCTTCTGATTTGTTGCTATTGTGAACAGGGCTGCTATGAACATTTCAGTGCATGGTTTTTGCTAAAGGTGTATATATACTTCTTTTGGTTTCAGAATTGCTAAGTCAAAGAGTAGACATAAGTTTGGCTTTATAGACACTGTTAAATTGTTATCAATTCCAACCAGCAGGATTGGAACCTTTCAGGTGCTCCTGGAATTTTGCCAACACTTAGTAATGTCAATCATTTCATTTTAGCCAGGGTGGCTATGTGTTGGTATTGTATAGTGGTTTTTGTTTTTTGAGACAGGGTCTCACTATGTAGTTGAGACTAGCCTGGAACTCACTATGTAGCCCAGGCTGGTCTTGAACTCACAGCTATCCTCTTGCCTCAGCCTCCTGAGTGCTGGGATTACAGGCGTGAGCCACCACGCCTGGCAATGAATAGTGGTTTTAACTTTCATTTCCTTTGTTTACTTCTTTTATATTTTTCAGTACCAGGGTTTGAACCCAGGGCCTTTGCACTGTGCCACATACCCAGCCATTCCTGTTTTTATATTGAGACAGAGTCTAATTCAATAAGTTGTCCAGGCTGGGCTCAAACTTGTGACCCTCTTGCCTCAGCCTCCCAGAGTTCTGGGATTACAAGAACTGCCACACCTAGTTTAGCTCATTTCCTTGATTTTTTTTCCTGCATAACTCTTTATGGTGGGTATCTTTTCATATGGTCAGGGGACATTTGGACTCTCTTTAAGGAGTAACTATTTGAGGAGTTTGTCCATCTTTCTCATACGTTGTCTGCTTTTTTTTCTGATGTATTTGTAGGAGTTAAAAAATACCCTATTTATAAATCCCTTTAAAAATATATGCACTTGGGGGGGATTTAGCTCAGTGGTTCTGCTGCCTGCCTTGCAAGCGCAAGGACCCGAGTTTGATCCCCAGTACGAAAAAAAAAAAAAATATATATATATATGCACTGGCGCCAGGGATTTAGCTCAGTGGTACCGCACCTGTCTCACAAGTGCAAGGCCCTGAGTTGGAATGCTGTTTTTTAAAAAAATGTATATATATATATATTTTTTTTCATTGCAAATATATTCTCTCATTCTGTGGTTTACCTTATTCTCTCTAAATCTGATGTCTTTTGATGAGCAGAAGTTATTACTTTTTAACTTTATGGTTAGTGCTTTTTGTATTCAGTTTAAGAAATCTTTGTCTAACCAAAGGTTGTGAACTTATTTTACATTTAGTTTTATTTTACTTTTCACATTTAGAGCCACAATCTCGCTGGAGGTTTTTTGTTGTTGTTGTTGCTTTTTTCTTAATGTAGGGTTTGAGACAGAAAATCAGGATTCATCTTTTCTTCACAAGTTGCTTCAGCTTTTATTTTTCCTTTCAGCTTATTGATAGAGATACCAGTGCCCAGGATTCATTTTTGTTCCTCTTATGTAATTGGCCACTTAGCATTATTTATTGAAAATAAGATCCAGGAACCAGGTCCAGTGGCCAGGGACATATGGCATTTTTGTTTGCTGGCGTGAGGTGCCCGTCTCATCTAGGTGGCTGAGAAGGAGAAAGGAACATTCCTGAGAAGAGTCAGGGTGTTGTTTCTGGCAGGAGGAGGAAATCACACTATGTAGTGAAAGACAGGCGAATGAATGAGTGAATGCATGAGACATTTGACTGAACAGGGCTTTGTCAAAGCAGCAGCAGATGTGATCAACGTGTTATAATCATCACCACCACCACCACCACCACCACCATCATCATCATCATCATCATCTTCTTCTTCTTCTTCTGTGATATCGGAGATTGAACTCAAGGTGTCATGCATGCTACCACTGAGCTACCTCCCTGAAGTTCTTTTCTTTTCTTTTTTTTTTTTTGGTACTGGGGATTGAACTCCTTGAGTTGGCTAGGCAGGCGGCTAAATCACCACTGAGCTAAATTACCACTGAGTTAAATCCCCGGCCCTTTCCTGACCTTTTTAAAAACAAGTTTTAGACAGGGTATTGGTAAATTGCCAATACAGGGTGAGCTCAAACTTGTGATCCTCCTGCCTCAGCCTCCAGAGTAGCTGGGCTTATAGGTGGTTGCCGTTATGCCTGGCCCACATGTCCTAATTATGAGAGGCAACGTGGTGTGTGTCTAAATGTAAGCTCAGGTTCAAATCCTGGCTCTGCCACTTATCAACTCTGTGAACTTCAGTGAGTTTCCAGCCTTCTCGTGACTCTTTTTCCACATCCATACAGTGGGGATAAAGTAGCTTCTACCATGGAGGGTGTCCTGATGATGAAATTTATTGGCATATACAAAGCAACAGCGTTAGCTGCTCTTATTATAGGTGGTCTTCCTGCCAGGTGTTCTCCGAATTTCTCCCCACCCTCTACAGGCATAAGGTTATCCATTTTGCATGTTTGGTAATTTAAAAACTAAAAAAAAATTTTTTTTTTGGTAGTTCAGGCTGGCCTTGAACCCACTATGGAGCCCAGCCTGGCCTTGAATTCATGGCAATCTTCTTGCCTCAGCCTCCTGAGTGCTGGGATTTAAAAAGCTCAAACTTTTAATTTAAATTAATTTTTTTCAAACTTTTATTTTTAAAACACATGTAAATATACAGAAATATTAGGAAGTTAGTACTGAGAATATTCATATACCTCTCAGTCAGTTTTCTCTGGTGTTAACATTAACGTGGTACATTTAATAAACCAACACTGATACGTTATTATTAAGTAAAATTCATCCTTCATCCAGGTTCCTCACCCCCATCCAATGTTGGTGCATTATATTTAGTTGTGTCTCCTAAGGCTCCTTGATTATGACCGTTTTTTTAGGTTTTCCTGACTTTGATGGCCTTGATGGGGTAACTTTTAGGCTGAAATGTTTTAGGTTTTGGGTGTCAAGTCAGTGCCTTGTACCCCAGGGTCTGGTCCTAGCCCCTGCCAGCCTGGAGCCATACTGTGCACATAGCTAGAAGGCAAAATGAAGGCTAGGCGTGGTGGTGCACGCCTGCAATCCCAGCACTGTGGGAGACTGAGGCAGGAGGACTGCAGGTTCGAGCACAGCCTGAGGGGATAAGACCCTGTCTCATAATTAAAAAATAAATCAAAGGGCAGGGGATGTGGCTTGTGTGAAGGCCCTGGGTTCTATCCCGTTTCCTCCACCCCCACAGGATGGATATGAGCCGTGGGAGCAGGTGTGAAGGTGTGCAAGCACAGCTGCAGAGAACTCTGAAATCTGGGCCAAGTGGGCTTCTAGCAGCAGGCAAGGCTTGGGTTTGGCAGCTCCCTGCCCTTCCCTGGAGCACTGGAGCCTGGCACTCAGGTGGTGAGGGCTCTTTGTGCTCATTAAAATCTCCGGGTACTCGACTTTCGCATTCTCTTCGTGGTCCGCTTAGGGATGCTCTGACGGACAAATTGCCAGTAAAGTAGAGCCAGCTGACAAGGGCTGGCGGGCGCTCTTTCTTCCTGGCCAACACTTGCATTTCAAGGCTGATTTCCAAGTCTGGAGAACGGATAACCCTGAGTCTACCCAGGAGATAAAGCTTCATGTTTTTGCTCTACTGTGTGATCCTGGAAATCTATGCAACCTCCCTACGCCTCATCTTCTTTGATAGTAAATGTGCCAAATCTGCCTAAGTGGAGCCTTGTGTTGAGAAGGCTAGGGGGATTATATCTTGGCTCAGTGGAGAAGCACACAAGAGTTGATTAGTCATGTCTGCCGCAGGCACAGGTTAAGAAAGTGGTGCTGTGTGCTGTATGTTTGTCATTCCCAGATTAGATGATTTCTGAGTTCTAGTTGTAAAACTGGCTCAGCATCCTGGGAATGAGAAAGAATAGGGTCTAGATGGGTGACCTGGCGTGGGAAAGTGGAGTGGTCGGCACCCCACTGATGGCTCTCTGTGCCTACAGAGTTCACCCATGCAGGGCAGGGTGGGCTGATCGAAGAGCCCACTGGCGATGAGCTGCCTGCCAAGAAGGGGCGGAGGAACCGTTTCAAGTGGGGTCCAGCCTCCCAGCAGATCCTGTTCCAGGCCTATGAGAGGCAGAAGAACCCCAGCAAGGAGGAGCGAGAGACCTTGGTGGAGGAGTGCAATCGGTAGATGGCTGGTGGTGGTGGGGTGTCTTGGGCCCCACGGGAGGCTCCTGCTGTTTAGTCTGGGCCAGAAAGTTGAGCGGACTGTGTCTTGAACTTAACTCCATCCCTAGCATCCCCCATCCATCCAGGTGACCCTTTTAGGGGCCACTCATCTCCTTTCATCCCCTCCACAACCCCAAGGCGATCTTGCTCACATCTTGACTAAGGTCAGAGAGGCTAAGTCACTTGCCTATGGTCACACAGCAGAAGTGGTTTGGGAACGAAGACCTGCCAGCCCAAACAGGTGGAGCTCAACTTCTCAGGACCCTCCCCACCCCAGGCGAGCGCTCTTCTGAGCCTGGCCTGGAGGCTCATGTGTGGTCACATCTGCAGGGCAGAGTGCATCCAGAGAGGGGTGTCACCATCACAGGCTCAGGGGCTGGGCTCCAACCTCGTCACGGAGGTGCGTGTCTACAACTGGTTTGCCAACCGGCGCAAGGAAGAAGCTTTTCGGCACAAGCTGGCCATGGACACATACAGCGGGCCGCCCCCGGGGCCGGGCCCAGGGCCTGGGCTGCCGGCCCACAGCTCCCCTGGCCTGCCGCCATCAGCTCTGTCCCCCAGTAAGGTCCACGGTGAGTGCTGCACTGCGGTGGTGGTCGGAGGTGGGAGAGTGGGGCGGCACCCGGAAGGCAGACAGAGCTGGGGGCGGGGGAGGTCGCCCAGACCTCTTCACACTCGCTCGGTTCCGTCTGCTCCATTCACCGCGCCGCTGCTTTGACACCGTCCACTCCGCTGCATTCGCTCCACCCGCCTCGCTCCATTCCACATCATCCCACGATGGCCCGTCCACCACACCGCCCACCGTGTAGCCCTCTATCCACCCTGCTCCACGCCGTCCAGCTCGTCCCCGAGCCCCCGCTGCTCACCTGCACAGTCCCGGGGGGCCATGCCCACGCCCTCCCGTCTGGTTCAGCCCCGCTTGGCCTGGGCCATCTCAGGTTAACGCGTGCATTTCAGATCTGTCAGTGTAAACCACCGTCGTCCAGCCCGACTCAATTCCTCTGTGTTCATGGAATTACAGTTCAATTTAGTTCGTTTAAATCTAGCACAGTTTAATCCAAACATTTACCATCCAGTCCATTTAATTTAAATATCATTCAGTGAAGTTCGGTTAATTTTGTATAGTCATTCTTCGGGATTTGTAGGGGATTTGTTCCAGGCTTCCCTGCTGACACCAAAATCCAACGATGCTCAACTTCCTTCTATATTTTGGGGGGTAGAAGCAGATGCATTGAGCCTACACCCACCCTCCCATATACTTTAAATTGTCTGTACATTATTTATATTTTACAATACATAATTACATTGTGTTGTTTAGGGAACGCTTCCCCCCCCGACGACAGTCTGATCCGCAGCTGTTTGACTCACGGACGCGGGGCTGGCTGTAGAGCTCCATCACTGCACTCCAATTCTATTTGATTCAGTTCAGCTCTGCTCCGACTCGATCTAGCTCACCCGATTTGAGGTTCAGTTTGCTTAGAGCTGGTTTGAATTCATCCATTCCAGTTCCTCCTATCCGACTGTTCACTTCAGCGTCATTCCGTCGCTCAGCTTCGTTCCGTTTTCTTTTCCTGATGCCTGCCGCATGTCGGGTTGTGCTGGGAAGAGCGGCCCCGAGCTGATGCGGTGTGGCGCTTGTATCCAGGGAGCCAGGAGCGGCCAGGGCAGGAGGGCTCAGGAGGTGGGTGCTGAGGCTGGGCCCCGCTCCCCACTCCAGGTGTGCGCTACGGACAGCCTGTGGCCAGCGAGGCGGCAGAGGTGCCCTCGAGCAGTGGCGGTCCCTTAGTGACAGTGTCTACACCCCTGCACCAAGTGTCCCCCACGGGCCTGGAGCCCAGCCACAGCCTGCTGAGCACCGAAGCCAAGCTGGTGAGTGTCCCCATCTGTGGTGAAAACCCTGCCGATGCCATTTTCCTTTGGCTGGGAAACGCTGGGTCCCCAGGAAGGTGGGTGGGTGGGGAATCCACCTTGATTCAGTCTGGCTTCCCGTCAGGTCTCAGCAACTGGGGGCCCCCTGCCCCCCGTCAGCACCCTGACAGCCCTGCATAGCTTGGAACAGACATCCCCAGGCCTCAACCAGCAGCCCCAGAACCTCATCATGGCCTCGCTGCCTGGCGTCATGACCATCGGGCCCGGTGAGCCTGCCTCTCTGGGCCCCACATTCAGCAACACAGGTGCCTCCACCCTGGTTATTGGTAAGCTGGTGGGGGGCGGGGCGGGCACCTGGGGGTGGGTAATGGGGCTCCTGCAGAACCGAGGAGCTGGGGAGAACCCTGGGCTCATTCATGCAACGTGCCCTACATCAGGGTACGTCAGGGAACCGAACAGACCAACACCTCAGAGAGCAGAGTGGGGAGGCAGGCGATCAGCGTGATACAGAAGTTCTGTAACACTTCAGAGCAGCCGAAGTCTGTGGGGATGCCAGACCGGGTGGCGCAAGCCTGTGATCCCAGTACTCAGAAGGCCTAGGTAGGATCACTGCAAATTCGAGGCAAGCTTGGGCTACATAGTGACTCCAAGGCAGTCGGAACTAATAGTGAGGTTGTCTCAAAAAGTCAGGAGAAAAAAAAAAAAAGTCTGTGGGAGAAATGGAACAGGATAAGGGGGACAGATATTTTGTGGTTTTTTTCTTAAGCCCAGAATTTGCAGGGACTATTATGCAAATATATGATACTGCTCAATGTTAAAGAGAAATTGAAGGGAGAGGAAAGCTGACTCCAGGACCTTTGCACTGCCGTGGAACCCCAAGGCTCCAGGGAACCCAGTTGGACAACCTTTGATCTAGTCACTGCTTGCCTCTCCCACTGGTGCACATCAGGAACTAAAGGCTCAGAGAAAGGGAGTGGCTTGCCAGGGCCACTTTAATTGGTGGCAGGTCCCAGGGCGCACCCTCTGAGCTCTGGGAAGGAAGGATGGTCCCACAGGGGATCTGTGGGGTGGGGGAGGCTTGGCTGACCCCTGTTCTTCTGCCCCAGGCCTGGCCTCCACTCAGGCCCAGAGTGTGCCCGTCATCAACAGCATGGGCAGCAGCCTGACCACCCTGCAGCCGGTCCAGTTCTCCCAACCGCTGCACCCTTCTTACCAGCAGCCTCTCATGCCACCCGTGCAGAGCCACGTAGCCCAGAGCCCTTTCATGGCGACCATGGCTCAGCTGCAGAGCCCCCACGGTGAGCACCCCCTGCCCTGGGTCGGAGGCTGGCTGTGGATGGTGCAGGGGAAGGTGGTGGCTTAGCAGGTGTTGTACACGTGTCTGGGCCACAGTACAGCCCCGTGGCACCTACTGCGGCACAGCTGTGTGCCCACGCATGCCTGAGGAGTGGATACCTAGCCCATTTTGAGGGTGCATCCGGCGATTCGCTGGTTGTGTTCCCAGGTGTTTGTGCACGTCCACGTGCGTTGGCACGGGGCCTCAGCCCTTTCTCTGGCAACCTGGGCTTGGTGGCTATGCTGTGTACCACATACAGCGCACACAGGGTCTGGGTGCTGCCCTGGCCTCTAAAATGCTACTGTGGCCGCAGGAGGAGGCGAGCACCATGAAGCAGGCCAGACCCATTTAACCAGAAGTTCACCTCCGGTGGGGTTCTGCCATAAACAAGCTCTGAGGCCAAACCTTACAGAAATCCTTTGATTTCAGACCTTTTTGGAATTTAGGATTGGGAAGGGTTGTGGACCTGTGTATCTCTGTGTGCACAGTTGAAAGTGCATGCATTTGCGTGTGCTTGTGGGTGCTGTGCTTGTGTGTGTGGTACTGGGGCTTGAACCAAGGGCTTCCTCACTGAATTACATCCCAGCTCTTTTTTTTTTTCCTAAGCTGGTCTCACTAAGTTGCTAAGTTGCCCAGGCTGGCTGACCTTCCTGCTTCAGCCTCCTAGAGTGCTAGGCGTGTGACCGCGTCACTGTGGGAGTACAGTGTGAGTGGAGTGTCTGTGCTTCTTGGGGTGGGGAGTGGCAGGCGAAACACCGATTACGTACTGGAGAGGCCCCCTCTCCTTGGTCTCCCACAGGCCACCTGCCCTCCCTTCCGAGGCATCCACACTGAGTGCCTGTGCTCAGTGTGACGCACTTGCGCCTGTGCTCAGTACAGCAGCACTGCATCTGTGCCTCCCCGCCGCCGTCACCAAGGCGCAGGAGGGGTTGGAGTTGGTTCCTGCCCTTCCTTAGGCTGTGTGCCACCCACCAAGTGGGAGGATCTAACCCTCTATCTGGAGCACCCAGCTTTGGAAATCAGCCATGGGTCCTCCACTGAGGCTCCACCGGGCCGTTCACCGGGCCCCGTGCCCACCTGCCTGAACACCAGTTCCAGCCTCTGGTGGGGGAGGCACCTAGGCTGGCCCAGGGCGCCATGGCCGCATTCCCCCCTCTCCCTCCCCCGCCAGCCCTCTACAGCCACAAGCCCGAGGTGGCCCAGTACGCGCACACCGGGCTACTTCAGCAGACCATGCTCATCACCGACACCACCAACCTGAGTGCCCTCGCCAGCCTCACACCCGCCAAGCAGGTAAGGGCCAGGCCTGCCCGGCCTCTCCAGTCCCATGCAAGCCTCCCACTTCATGACCCAGGGGCTCAGGGGGCTGCTGTGGTTCTCCAGGTCTTCACCCCAGACACCGAGGCCTCCAGTGAGTCGGGACTTCATGCGCCGGTGTCCCCGGCCACCACCATCCACATCCCCAGCCAGGACCCTGGTGGCATCCAGCACCTGCAGCCTGCCCACCGGCTCAGCGCCAGCCCCACAGGTGAGCACCCTTTTGACGTCCCCAGGTCTGGGCAGCGGTGTGTGCAGTGGACGGAGGGGAGGTGTGGGGCTCCCTGTCTCCTAAACACAGCCCAGTGAAGCACAGTGAGCCATGTGCACAGCCTCAGGAGTGGAGCTGGGCCTACAGGAAGAGCCCAAGACTAGACTGAGAAAGGGACTAGGTCACAGGAAAAGGCAGCAGAGGGGAACAGAGAGCAACACACTGGGCTTGTGCCAGGCCAGATGAGACTCACAATGTGTTTGCATTGGCTCGGCTCAAGGTTTAATCGTCTTTAAATTAGTGGTCAACATTTAAAAACAAGAAGCTTTCATCCAGAAATCCAACTTCTCAGGGCCAGGAGTGGTGGCACACAGAGGGCTGAGGCTGGAGGATTGCCTCGAATTTGAGGTCGGCCTGGACGACACAGTGAGTCCAAGGCCAGCCTGAATTAGAGTGAGACCCTGCCTCAAAGAAAACAAAAACAAACAAACAAACAAAGGCAAGCAAGCAGGCCAATCTCTGGGGAAAGTGGGCCCGCCTTCTCACTCTGCCCTTCTGTCCTTACCCCGACAACCCTAGAGGGCCTCGCTTTCAACTACAATGTAATGGTCAAGAGTGGGCACCCTGGGGTCCGGCTAACTCTGCCTCCGGGAAAGTTGCTGCCCCTCGAGAAGCCTCAGTCTCTCCCTTCCCGCCCAGATGGCTGTAGGGTCAGTTACGGACGGGACTCCATGGGGCCAACTCTCTGCTTTACCCCATGAGGCCTCTGCCATTATTGTCCCCATTTTACAGATGAGAAAGTGGACACTCAAGGAGGTGACGGACGTGTCTCATCTCCCACAGCTACTGGGTGGCACAGCCAGGACTTGAACCCAGGTCCAACCCCCAAACCCGCTTGGTTCTCTTAACCAAGTCCTCAGCTGACTTCCCCCAAGATGCAGGAGCAGTAGGATATTGCAGGATTTCCCTTAAGGAACTGGCTCACCATGGTGGGGGCTGGCGTCCATCACCTGCAGGGCTGGAGGCAGCAGGCAGACACTCAGGCAGGAGATAGTTCTGCATTCTCGAGAAAGGGGATTTTGCAGTCTCTGGGAAACGTGTTTCTGGCCTTAACGGCCTCTGATGAGATGACGCCCACCCATCGCGGCTCCCTTCTTTTGAGCCAGTTGACTGTCAGGTGTTAACCGTGTCGGCAAAGTACGTTCCCAGCAACGCCTAGACAAGCGTGTGACTCAGCCTAACTGAGCTAACACACATCACACCACACCACACCACCTGGCCAGGGCTTCTCCAGTGTTCCCACCAAAAGGTCCTGAGGTCACTCACTGGGTGGCCCCAGAGCCTGCTGAGGGCAAAGGCGTGGCCTTGGGGAGGCCTTGCTTCTCCTATCTGAGCTCCCCTAGGGACAGGCAGCTGGGGTGGGGTTGGGGGCCTTGGATGGCAGCCAGCAGCCTCACTTGCCTCTGCAGTGTCCTCCAGCAGCCTCGTGTTGTACCAGAGCTCCGACTCCACCAACGGCCACAGCCACCTACTGCCATCCAGCCACAGTGTCATCGAGACCTTCATCTCCACACAGATGGCTTCCTCCTCCCAGTAACTATGGCAACTCCCTCCTGGGCACTGGAGCCTGCACTGCCAGCTTGGGGAGTGAGGACAGCAGCGGCCACAGATGCCTGGGGCTACACGGGCCTCTGCTGCCCACCCTGGATATCTGTGCCTTGGTCCCCATCTTGCTCTGTTGGCATCAGAAGGGGACAGACAAGAGGTGTCCCGACCTGAGGCGGGGACCATGGCGATCTGGGCAGCAGGGCTTATTCCTGGCAGGACTCTGCAGGGACTATTCCGGTTGCTTAGGATAAAAAAACTTGTTATTTGGAACCAAAGGGGACAGCTTTTGACTCTGGCACCACCAGCCTGGGCCTGTGGGGAGCCCTGAGGCCAAGTGAACCCCCGGTGGTCACAGCTCTCACGACCCAAGCCTGGGTAGCTGTGACTCGCCGAGCTCGCTGGGTCATCGCTGTCATGCTGTCACTGATGTACCCACCAGGCCACTCCACCCTGCCCCAGCTCCTTCCGGCTGGTGATCCCATGCCTGTGTGTCCTCTGCACCACCCACTGCTGAGCCCTTCCCCAGTGACTGCTCTGTGCCAGGGCCTGGAGCTCCGATGCCCACACCTGGGGTGTCTCTAGTTAACCGGGCAGACAAGTAGGGTACCCAGCTCCTCTCAGCCCAGGCCATCCCTCTCCAGCCCTCGGAACATTTGCTCCCCCGATCACTGCGCCTTCGGATGCCAGCCTGGTAATCCTGCCTCTACCAGTAAGACCACTTCGGGGCTAAGAAGTTGTCCTTGCTGTCGTGGGTGCCCTATGACTTGTGCCAAGTCTGGGTTCGGCGGCGGCAGCTTCTGCAGACTCGGGGACCCGTGCAGCCTTCCCTTGTTTGGGAGGGATGCTGCTGAGCTCAGCAGGAAGCGGAGCCCGAGCAGTGGGCAGAGCTGAGATGTCCGGAGGCGGACGAGGGCAGGGAGATGAGATCGGCAGATGGAAGCCACCTGTGCGGCCAGGACTCCTGCTGGGGAGCTCCAGGCAACTGGCAGCCACCCTGAGGAGTCCAAGGTCCTCAGTGACAGCAGAAGGGACAAAGCAGCTGTTAGAACCCAGGGCACGTGTGCCCTCATCTCCTTGAGCCCACTGCACAGAACCTGACCTCCATGGGCTGCCTCCAGCTGGGACTGAGGCGGGGGTGCAGGGAGAGCTGTGTCCCCTGCAGCTTGTAGCCAGTTACAAGTGAGGCCGGACACTTATTTAACTTTTAGTAAAGTCAATGAGAAATGTACAGAAACTTCCTGTCTGTCCATGAGTCATCCAGCTGGGGGTGGGACAGGCAGGCAGAGGGACACCAAGGCAGGACAGGGCTCTGAACAGGGATGGCTTCAGGGCACACTCCCACACCTTTTTTTTTTGTAGTACTAGGGATTGAATCCAGGGCCTTTGCACGGAGCTACATCCCCAATCTTTTAAAAAAATTTATTTTGAGACAGGGTCTTGCCAAGTCACTAAACTGCCCAGGCTGGGGTTGAACTTGTGATCCTCCTGCCTCAGCCTCCCAGACACCGTGCCTGGCTCCCCGTTTTTCTGCCTGAGACTTAGGCAAGGTGAGGAAGCCTGAATTCCACCTTCACCTTGGCTATTGGCTGCAGAAAAGCCCTCTACACAGAACTTAGTCCACAAGCGCTGCAACACTTCCTGAACCTTGAACGGTGGAGACAGTACATATCCAGGTGTGCTGGTGGGCGGGTCCTATACACAATGTTCACTTCAAATGTCCCTGTAAGATTCAACATTGAGCGGAGGCAGCAAGGAGTTCTGGGCCCCTTGACAACTCATTTCTAATGGGCCAGGTGGTGCAAAAATGTTGTGCCCATAAAATCTTAACGTGGAGAAAAGGAATTCTGGAAAACAGGAGGGAAAACTCTCCTCCTTTTCCTCAAAATGTCTTGTTAATTGTATGTAAGTTGGGGGGAGAAGTATAAATGTTTTTCTAGGCCTTGGCATCTTGGGGACCCCTCCCCTCAATTTCTAAAGATCTGCCTCTCACATTTGGCTGGGGAGGGAGAAATGTCTTCCCCTTTCCATGTCTTGCTAGTAGTCCAGGTTGTCTTTGAACTCATGGAGATTTTCCTGCCTCAGCCTCCCAAGTGCTGGGATTAGAGGCATGTGTCACCGCATGCAGTGAAAAGTCTCCCTTTACTTTTGCCCCTACAGACTGTCTTGGGGAGGTGGGGCATCACTACTTGGCCATTAGTCTTGAATAGCTGGAAGATTCTGCCTTGCTGAGGCCACAGAATGTTCTGGAACTACAGGTCTGTTGCACCCTCGATAGGAACACAGAGGGGCAGAGTTTGGACTTGCGAGCTAGGCGCTTGGACTTGGGGAGGGGAGTGTGGAAATGGCTATGGTATGGGTACCACAGACCAGGGTCAGTTTGCAAGCACAGCGGTTGTGCTTTTTGCCAGTGGGCATGAGGAAGCCTTGTTGGCCTTCGCCTTTTTCTTCCTTTTTTTGTTTTTGGTCCCCGGTGATACCTGGTCCCCGCTGATGGCACTCAACCCCCTTTCTTGTTTCTGGACTGTCGCTCCGCTGGCTGGGGTGGTGGCTTCAGCCGGGTCGAGGCTGACCACCTTCTTGGCTTTCTTTTTCTTCTTCTTGGCCTCCTGCTCCCCGCGGACAGGGCTGTGGATAGCTGAGTCCTGGAGAATGTCGTTGGCGGACACGGCCGCCTCCCGGCACCGCTGCCACTCCTCAGCCTCAGTGCTGTCCTCGCTGCTACAAGGGGGGGATGACTGGGGCTCACAGGGTGCGGGGTGGGCCCTAGAATACGCCTCTTGCTGCCCTCTCTCGGCCCAAGCCACAGAGGGAACTCAGGCTTGGAAGTGAGGCAGACCTGGGTTCCAAGACAAACTCTCCACCGTGACCTCACTCAGCGACTTCACCTCTCTGTATCTTCATCTATAAAACAGGGAGCTTAAGAGGCCCCACAGGGATGTCCCAGGAAGCAAACATGGTAACAGAAGGGATCTGGCCCAAGATGGTGCTTAGAAAGCAGTGACGACCCAAAGCCACTCCCTGAAGAGCCTCTGCTGGGCGTGCCGCTTCCCAGTGACCTGACTGGAGTCTGCCTGGCTACTGTGGGGGCCTGGGCGAGAAGAGGGGAACGGAGGGGAGAGCTGTGGGGAGAGGGTGCGAGCCCCTACCTGGAACCGGAGCGCTGTCGCTTTCTGCAGGGCCGGGGAGCAGCTTCCTCCTCAGGGTCTCTGGGGAGGGACGTGAAGAAGAGGCGGAAGCCTAGGATTCACAGCACACAGTCAGCACTGCCGGACGCGAGCCCTCCTTCCCAGGTGCCTCGGGAGCTCCCAGCCCAGCCCCACGGACCTGGGCAGCCCTGCTGTGTGAGCAAACAGAGGCCCATCTGAGGACAGGCCTGCTTGAGGCCTGAGGGGACATGAGCTGCCACACTGGGGCAGCAAGCCCTCAGGGCTCCTGGAGGCCAGCCGCTGAGCCTTCTGCCTAGGGCAGCCCCCGAAGAGGCCAGACTTGGACGGGGCGCTGTGACGTGCAAAGAAAGAGCGCCTGCCCAGGACGGATGAAGGTCCACAGGCAGGTGACTCTGTGCCCCAGAGCCCCACTTCCCTTGCCTGTCACTGGGGCGTCATCATCCTTCCTGCCTCCCAGTGTGGTCCGTGCAAACGGAAGGCTGGGCCCCCAAACCACGTCCCTGGATACACGGTAGGTGCATCATTGTATGAACAGTGTAACTACTCACCATTGTCTCCTGAGGCCACTTCCTGTATCATAGCTTTTCTCGGTTCCTTCACTGCTTCTGAGATGATGATAGAGCTAAGGGGAGAGGAGGCGGTGGACAGGATGTGAGAGTCTGGGTGAGAATAATTTTTATTCTTTTTTTTGTTTTTTTTGAGTCAGGCTCTCACTATGTAGTTGAGACGGACCTGGAACTCACTATGTAGCCCAGGCTGGTCTCGTTCGAACTCACAGCGATCCTCCTGCCTCAGCCTCCCAAGTGCTGGGATCACAGGCATGCGCCACCACACCTGGCCAATAATTTTTATTCTGAAATGATTACTTTTAAAGTGGAGGGGATGGGGCATATGATCTTAAATACAAAAGTGGAGGCCATACCGGGGCAGGAGGAACCTGAATGTCTGCAGCCACAAGATGCTGAGCAGCCCCTGGAGACTCAAACTGCAGGGCTTCGTCTGTTTAAACCCCACTTCATTCCAGAAAGTGCTGAACAAGTTTCAAACATGCAGGGCAATAAAAGATACTAGCAGAGGGATAGAGAGAGCTGGAAGTATAATCAGAAAGTCCTTCCTGTATACTTGCTAGGGAAACCTATGTTTCGCCCTGGACTTCCTATTAGAAAGCACAAAAGGGGAAATTGGACCCGTCTAGAAAAGTGGTTCGGGGGTGGCTTCTACAACGGGGCCGGCCTGTCACTGTCTTCTTTCATGTTTAAGGAATTTGAGGCAATTTGTAGGTTGGACATTTAGCTGTGAGAAATAACGCAGAGATCCCAAATAGCACGTAAACCCATAGTACAGCATCTTAACAAGGAAACTGAGATTGATATGACCCATTGACCCCATTCAAACTGGGTCCTGTGCTTTGAATGCTGGCTTGGTCACTTGCTAGCTGTGTCCCCTCCGGCAAATGACTTCACTTCTCTGGGTCTCTATTACACTTCTGAACACTGGGAATGAGAACAGTGCCTATCTCTTGGGGCCATTACAGGATTAAATGAGAAAATGGATCTCAAGCGCCTAAGGAAGAGCTTGCCATAAGCAGGTGCTCAGTTAATGATAGCTGTGACAAGGAAAGTCATCAAGGCATAACAACTGGGTAGAATCTCTCATAGAGATGAACCATCTCTCTGGGGCGTGGAGACCAGGAAGCCCATTTCTGCAGAACGCTGCAAACCCAGCAGCCACTGCATGCTTTTCCCAACTTCTTTCCACTCAGGCCTCAGCCAGCCCCAAAGCCCTGTGCAGGAAAAGAACCTGGGGAGCAGCGGCCATCAGGCACCAGCTGCTGACCTGACGCAGCGGTTTGATGTCTGGCAATGTCTGCAGAGGTTTCTGGGTGTCACAACTGGTGGAGTGGGCGCCAGAAGTACGGAGGCCAGGGATGCTGCTATCACCCTATGAGGTGAGGAGCAGTTCTCACAACAAAGAGCTGTCTGTAAAAACTGTCACCAGTGCCCAGCTATCACCTGATCTAATGTAAGGGACTGACTGGAGGGTCACATAAGTCCCTTCAGAGAGAAACATGGAAATGCTGGGTTCAAATTGAATGAGGAGGGCATCAAATCCTCACCTCCCTTTCAAAACCTGCTAGGGCTAGTCAATCGGGAATGGGCCTAGCACAGCGTGTCCTGAATATGTCGAACGGTCTGTGATACAAAGGCACTGTGGCCAGATGGGTTTGGTAAATGCTGGGGCAAAGCTGCACAGTTCCCTGACTCACAGAATTTTCAGGGTCTTGAATATACCTCGATGTCAAAGGACTGAGGTGTTTCTCTAACTTCACTGCTGTTGGACCCCCTTGGTTTCTAGAGCTGTATTTGGGGTTAGTGCTAAGGTCTGAATGTCCGTATCCCCCTAAAATTCCCACGTGGAAGCCCTAACTCCCAAGGTGATGGTCTCTGGAGGTGACGCCTTTGGGGGTGATTAGGTCATGCGGGTGAAGACCTCAGGTATGGGTTCTGTGCCTCTATAAACAAAGCTCAAGGGCGACCTCTGCCAGTTTTTCCCCTTGAGGACACAGCAGAAAGGTGATATCTAGGAACTAGGAAGAAAGGCCTCACTAGGCATCGAGTCTACTGGACTTCTCAGTTCAGAATACAAGAACGCCATTCTGGTGCTTACAAGCCGGCCGGTGGGCACTACTTGGTGACACAGCCCGAATGGGCAATAACAGCGGCACTCTTGGTGCTGGCTCTCGGAAGACCAACTGGATCTTCAGAGACAACATGGGCAGAAAGCCTGGCACCCAGGAAACAGGACTTCTGTCTTCCCTTCCCCGCTCCCCGTGGAAATGAGCTCCTGTTTCTCAGCGCTCCTCCTGTCTTCTCCGATGAGCAGCACAAGGCGGTGGTGAAGGAGCCAGGTGCCTTGGGCTTGAGAGCTTGAGGTCCGGCTCTGCTCCTTACTCCCTGTGACTGCAAGCAAACACACCTCCTGGCCGGGTGCCTCTTTCCTCACCCAGAACAAGGACAACGGCAGGACCTCCGTGATGCGCTGCTTATGAATGCACCGAGGTGCTGGAAGCCACACGCCGCGTAGACACTACGAGCTCCTACCCGCCATGTGCCACGGCTGTCGGTGTCAGTGAGGGTGCGTACCTGTCCAGCAGCGCACTCAGCTTCCTGGCCACGTGGGCTCGGAACTCGGGCGTGGTTTGCAGCTTGTTGCCATCCTGCTCGTGCTCATCCACCTTATGCCTACAATGCACACAAAGGATCTTACTTCCAGGCAGCGCAGATGCCGCCCCACGAGGGAGCAACTATGCTCGTCTCGTTCCCTCACATCCCGGGGTCTGACCTAGCGCTGACATTTGCTGATGATCTATGAGGGCCCCTGTGTGTTTGGATCATGGGGGGCGCTAAACACATTAGCAGATTCATCCATCGATTTGTAGCTAAATGTGCTGTTGGGAGGTGGGGCCGGGTCGGAAGAGGAGGTCATGGGGGCCGACCTGGAAGGCTGTATTCTTGTCCCTTCTCTCCCTTCACTCTCTGCTTCCTGGCTGCCATGAATTGAGCAGCTTTCCTCTGCCATGACCCTGTGTCATGCTGTTCTGCCCTGAGTCCACCAACCATGTGAAACGGGAGCCCAAATAAACCTCTCTTCCTTTAAGATGCAGTATCAGGTAAGCTAATACGAGGAAAGCTAATAATATGAGGAGTAAATGAAAGTGCTACCCAAACCGCACAGTACCTGAGGCTTGGCTGGGAGGTTGGCAACTGGTTATTTGCAGCATCTGGGAGGAAATGAAAATTGAAGCATTTGTAGAGAGAATGACAATGGTAACAGTAACAAAACCTACTGCGTGCCAGGCACTATTTTAAGTAGTTTCTATGTGTAATTCAGGGAATCTTCCTCCAGAATCCCATTAGAGAGGTGAGCATTATCAACATTTTGCAGGAGAGGAAAGTCAAAGAGATGTAAAATATCTTGGCCAGTGTCTAACAGCTAATTCAACAAGGCTGGGAAAGGCCCCAGGATAGCTGGCTCAGAGCCCCCCGTTAACCGTCACACTGAACTGGCGAATCCAAGTGCTGAGGGAGAAGAGGACAGGTGGCTGTTTGTGTTGGTGACATTTTTATAAAGCCACAACATCGGGATGGCCTGGCCTGGTGGTCATCTACAGAATCAAATACTGAATGCCGATTAATAGCCACTTTTCCTACTTGCTGAACTCAGATGACTCTTCCTGTCCTCACAGAGCTTGTGTTCTAGTCGGTGGATGGGATGAAATTCACATGAACAAAATATAAAACTGGATAATGGTGAGAGTATGGAAAGTAACAAAAACAAAGCTGAGGAGTGAGGGAGGCAAGGGAGGAGCATACAAAGGTGGGTGTGGAGGGCCTGGCAGGTAAGGTGAGAGGCGAGGGAGGAGGCCAAATGGAAATCTGGGAGACAGCCTTCTATGCAGAGGAAAAACATCTGCAAAGGCCCCGAGGTAGGAACCTATCTGGTGTTTGAGAAACAACAAGGAGGCAGGTGTGGCTGGAGCCCACTTCGCCAACTGGTGGGGCAGAAGAAAAAGGTGAACTTGTGGAGGGCACCCATATAAACCAATGTGAGGATCTGAGCTTTGAGGAGGAGCCACTGGAGGATTCTGGACAGAGGAGGGACATAAACAGATTTAGGTTTTTATAGACTATCTCTGGCCGCTGTGCGGAATGAGACCAGAATCAGGCAAGGGCAGACACAGGGATTGTGCAGCAAAATGCAACACATAGGATTATAAAAACTCTAATAAAGGGGATTTAGCTCAGTGGCACTGCGCCTGCCTTGCAAGTGCAAGGTTCTGAATTTGATCCTGGAACCAAAAACAAAACAAAAAACCAGCAATACTGAGATTTAGTTATATAATAGTAAACATGTTCTTAATATATATGCTTTAGTGAAGATCTTTATTAAACAAGATCTAGAAATAAGTCAAAGATTACTGTAGTTTTAAAGTACAGATAAATATAAATGACTTCCTAATATTTTGTGAATAAAATATTTTGGTATGTCTGCAAGATTAATGAAATAAGAAAATCTGGAAACTTCTGTTGGAACAAAGCAACAGGCATTGTAAAAGGGCTGTGGCTTGTTGCTCACATGCACGATGGAGAGATGCTAAATTTGTTAGGGGTTGATAAAAATAAAGATGGATATTTTTTCCATTTCAAATTTAAGGAACCACTGGACACCAACCAAGATTAGACATCCCTACTGAGGAGTTTCGGATTTATCCCCAGGGATCTAGGGAATCAAGGTTAGAGACTTGTTGCACACAGCTCCTCGGAGACCGCCTGGAGAGGGAATGTGTTGGAGGCGGGGAAAGGGTGGATAAGACAATACAGGAGCGGGACTGTCGCAGTTATTTCAGAGTGGTGGCCTTCCCAGCATGCAGCAGTGTGGATGAACCCAAGAAAGTGGAATAAAGAGACATCCAGGTGCCTCGGATTCCTTCACTGGGCGTAACCACTCGCTGCGCTGCATCTGCCTTCGCTTTGAGTCTGACTCCCTGGTAGCTTCTGGAGCTCTCTTGGCGAAGGAAGTCCTCGTAACCCCCTCCTCTCCGTCCATCCTCTTAGTCCTCAGGGAAGAACCTATGCCTTTTGGGCAGCCTCCCGGAATACAGCCTCCTACCGTCTCTTGTTTTTTTTGTTCCTCGCGAGGGCTGCTCCAAGCCCCAGGCCGGCATAGCCGCCTCTCTGCACCGCGCCAACTCCTCCGCATCGCTACTACTGCTGCTCTCGGAGTCGCTCCTTGTGTCACTGGGCGCCGCCATCTTAAGCTATCACAAAGAATTGTGGGAAACACAATTGACTCTGCCACGTGACCCGGCGTGAGGGCAGATTGAATTGTGGGGATTGTAGTCCTCAGACGAAGGCTATCTTTCGCCGTGAACTATCCTAGAGGGCGCAGGAAGGAATTCCTTAATTAAATGTGGGCTCTTGAAGGAGCTAAAAAAGGCAACTTGGAGACTTAGTGAGACCTTGACTCAAAATTTAAAATAGAAAGGGTGAGGTAGGGGAAAGGAAAGAAAGGAAAGGAATAAATATGAGAAAAGGAAAAAATGGAAACCAAGTCTGTAACTAGGGAGGGGTGGAGGGATTGCACGGAGGGCAGGGGAATGGGGGAAAAAAAAGAACCAAGATATATTATGTAAAGGTATAAACTCCAAATAATGAATGTCAACATATTGTGTACCTAAAATGTACCAATAAATTTAATTAAAACAAAAAGAGGGATGGGATGTAACTCAATGTGAAGGCCTTGGGTTCAATCTCTAGAATGAGATGGGGGTGGGGTATCAACCAAGTTCTTCAATCTTGTGTTTCTTTCTCTTTCTTTATTTTGGCGGTGCCGGGAATTGAACTCAGGACCTTGTTCTTGCGAGGCAGGCACTGAGCTAAATCCCCATCCCCTTCAATCTTTTCTTAATGAGAAAAATGGTAAGGAAATCTCCTAAGGTCACACAAAGACAGAACCAGGATTAGTTCAGATTTTGATTGATGTAGTTTAGACATTATTCATGTATTTCAGTAATTTTCAAATCCAGCTAGAGGTCAGGAACATCATAGGGCACCTGTTCAACTGTGGACTAACCCTGTCCTATTAGATTGGTACCCAGAAATTTGTATTTTTTCTAATAGCCTCGGACCTTCCTACTCAGGTTATAGTCCACGGGCCAGGTTGTTAGAAATGCAGGCTCTTGGGCCCCACAACAAATTTACCAGATTGGAATTACATTTGAACAGCTCTCTCTGTGATTTAAATATAAAATGTAATTCAGATACAATTTAGTCTGGTGAACACTCTGGTCTTCCTGTCTTCCTTCCTTCCTTCCTTTATTTCTTTAGATGGTACTAGTAGGAATTGAACCCAAAGCCTTCATACTGAACTACCTCTCCAGCCCCTTTTAAATTTTTTTAAAAAATTGATTTTGAGGGGCTGGGGGGGATTTAGCTCGGTGGTTCCGCTACCTGCTTTGCAAGCAGAAGGTCCCGAGTTTGATCCCCTGTACTCACCCACACCCAAATTGATTTGGAGACAAAGTTTTGGTGAGTTGCCCAGGTGGGACTTGAACTTGCAGTTTTCCTGCCTTAGCCTACAGTCATGTGCCACTAGGCCTGGCTAACACTCTAATTTTCTAGCCCACGACTTCTCTAACCTGTCTGTACATAAAAACATTTAAGCAACTTATTAAAAAATATATGCTGCCAGGGATTTAGCTCAGTGGTTCTGCTGCCTACCTCACAAGCGCAAGGTCCAGAGTATGATCCCTGGTACCAAACAAACAAATACCCAAAAGACATACTGATTCCCAGGACTGATAAGGTAGAATCTCTGCAGCTAAGCTATTACACAATGAATGACAAACGAAACAGCTTTTGTCTTCGGAATGCTTTATCTTTGAAGGGGAGTATGTCAGAAACATCACTGAAATAAGCTATCTGGCCTTGCAAGTTTATATTTCAAAAAATGACTGGTATGATCCGCATGTCTGTGTCTCCCCCAAATCCCATACTGAAATCCTCACCCCAAAGGTGTCAGTATTAGGAGGCAGGGTCTTTGGCAGGTGCTTCAACTCATGAGGTGAGCAGAGTCCTCATGAAAAGGCTTATTGCCCTCATGAAGGAGACCCCCTCCTCCGTGTGAGGATGAAGGGAGAAGCTTCCATTCATGAGCCAGGAAGAGGCCCTCACCAGATACCAAATCTACCAGCACCTAGTTCTTCCTAGCCTTCAGAACTGTAATAAATACTTGTTATTTGTATGCCTTGAATTTACGGTGTTTGCTATAACAGCCCAAATGAACTGAGACAGTGACTCAGTGAATAAATCTTAGTCCTTTTTCTAAGAAGAATTTTTTTCACTATCTACATTGTAGGCTACATTATATTATTCTGCACATTATAATGGTTACAAAGATGTGCATCGAGTTAGCCTATTTACTTCTTGGAAATGAGACATTTTTTTTGGTCCCCGAAGACAAAGGGAGCCAGGAAATATACAAATTACTATTGCTAAATTGCCAAGAGACTGTTGAGAGCCAATTACGCGGTATAGTTGATAGGCTATGGTGAGCCATCAGAAAGCAGGGCAAAGTGGAAGGATAGGAGAAAGCTTTTTATGGGTTGGTTGGCATATACCCCACCACACGATAGCCTTTGATTATAAAGGTTATTATTTTTAAAAAGTCTCTGCATTAGTATGAACTCTTTGTGTGTGGGTCTTATGAATGGAGGGGATTTTTTTTTTTTCATCCAGCCTCATCCTCAGCCTCCCAGACTGCCTCTTTTTGTCTGTTTTCCTACAGTCCTCAATCCCGAGTTGAGAGGCTTATATGATTAAGCAATAGCCCTTAGGACAGAAGGAGCATCTGGGGAAATGCAGGAAGACCACCCAAATGAGAGCAGACAAAGGCTCTTTATTTATTCTTAGTTTGCAAAAACAACCCTGGCCTTTGGCAGAGACTCACAGACAGGCAGGGTACCAGGAAAGCTTCACAGCAGGGAAAAAGGGGTGAACTTCAGGCATGTCCTGATCCAGGCTGTCGCAAGGAGGCGGAGTGCGAACAAACCAAAGCAGGGCTACTTATGTGATTAGTGGGGGAGGCTCATTTGCCTCCCTCTGGCTGGTCTTAAACTAGAAGTGGGATCGAGTGGCGTGGGAAATTAGAGAAGGTGGCGGTTACCGACTCAGTCGTGACTTGGTGTCTGGTTGGTTGTTGCTGCAGAGGTTGTGGGTGAAAACACCCTGTGGTCACACAGGTCTTGGCCACTGTCCCTTTGTATATTTAGTCCCTGCTGGCAGGGCTGGGAGAACTGCTTATAAAGCTGATGAAGATGGGAGACCTCGCTCTTGCAGAGAACGGGGGTGGGGGGAGTTGAGGCTCAGCTCTGATATTCTTTTTCTTTCCTTCCTTCCTTTCTTCTGCAATGCTAGGAATTAAACCCGGACCTCATACATAGTGCGCAAATGCTCTACTCCTGAGCTGTGTACTCCCAGTCCTGACTTCTGGATCTGGTGGCAGACATGTGCAGAGCAGCTTCGCCGAGGAAACTAAGTGGATGGAAATAGAGCCTCTTCCGCCTTCTTCTTGGACAGGACGATTGTGTCGCTGTCCTGGATGCCATAGCACCCAAAATTGAACCAGTCCTGCAGGACGTGGCCCCGGAACTCCAGCTGCTGCTGCTTGCTGGGCAGCCCCTGCCTGTCCTCAATCTTCTGCTTCAGGCCCAGGACGAGGTGGTAGGGGTGGATGGCGTAGGCGTGGCTCCTCCCATCCGGGTTCTTCACAAAGACCTGGATCTCTGGGGATACAGTGTCCAGCAGGCAGATGTGGGTGTCGGAGAAGATCCCGTAATAGGCTAGCGAGCAATGGCTGCTGAGGAGCTGCCGCTCGTCCCCGGGCTCCTGGAAGGACAAGCGCTGCAGGCCTGCGTAGCCCCGGCTCTGTCGGATTTTTTCTTTCACTTTCTTTATGGACTCATAAGGGTTCATCCAGAGGATCAAATCCGAGTGACCCCACTGCTCCACTGTTAGCTGGATATCTCTTGCTCTCTGTGAGGGAGAGGGAGAGGGGTTTAGGCCACACTTCTGTCCGACATGCAAACGTCCCCTGTACCTGTGGTCATCTTCGAAATAGCAACAAAAACAGAGGCGGCAGCAAACATTTAGGGAGTGTCAACCACTTTCCAGGCCCTATGCTGGGTGCCTCCCATGCTCTGAATGTACTTTGTTCTCACAGCAACCCCAGGAGGCTGGCTCTGCTGTTCTCCCTGTTTTACAGATGAGGCAATTGAGGGTGGATTCAGCTGAGTACTCACGGGCTATCAATCACAAAGGGAGCAAGGAGCCAGGTGTGCCAAGGAATCTAAGCCTCCTGCAGCAAAGTCAAAGTCTGCTTATATTGCAAGATAAAAATCTTTGCACAGTGTTTTTTATATTCAAGACCACCCACAGGAGAGCAAAGGCCTGTGCTTTTCAGCCCATCTTAGGTCTCATGTGGCTGGTGGGGCCTCTGTAATCTCTACCTTGTCACAGCCTCTGATCTTGCTTCTGCCACCACTGCAAGCCGGTCAGGCTCTTGTTCCTGCACGTCCCTGGCCTTGTGCCCTCTTCATTCTGGCCCTTCAGCCTTGAGTGACCTGTATTCTCAGCATCTCTGTCCTTACCTGGTCTTTTGGGCTCACTTTAAGCCCTAGCTCTTTCAAGGAGTCATCTCTAATGACTTTGGATGATATTTATTCTTTGTGGAGTCCCACAAAGACTCGTGAGTCCTGGCTTTGCTACCTCTTGGTAGTGTGATGTTGATTTTTTTTTTTTTTTTTTTTTTTTTTTTTTTTTGGTTTTTGAGACAGGGTCTCACTATGTAGTTGAGACTGACCTGGAACTCACTATGTAGCCCAGGCTGGTCTCGTTCGAACTCACAGCGATCCTCCTGCCTCAGCCTCCCTAGTGCTGGGATTACAGGCGTGCGCCACCACGCCCGGCATAGTGTGATGTTGATTAACTAATTTAACCTCTTTGAGCCTCAGTTTTTTCATCTATAAAATGGCAACAATAGTAATAGTACTAATATAGAGAATGAAGTTATGAGGATAATGTTTGACCTTCCCACTTTACAGAATTGCTGGGAGATGTTCCCCCCGACAAGTGTTTTGAAAATTGTAAAATATGATGAGAGGAAAAGATTTTTGTTTTTTTTTGCCTGTACTGTAAGTTTGGCGTCACTCAAGAATATTACTTGCTCACTGATGGCATAGGGTGAGTGCCTTGAGGGCGGAGGCCAAGTCCTATCTCTGTTCCCGCCGCGCTGCCCTTGCCACCTCTCCTCCAGCTCCAAGCCCAGTGCTGGCACCTAACAGCCCTGTGAGCTGACTTGGCTGCTCAGCTCTGGCAAAGCATGATGGGGAAAATGGAACTGATTTTCCAGTAGGTTCGGGGTGGGGGGAAGGGGGAGAGAAGAATTTAAAGCTAAACCTGAGGCTCAGAGAACCAAAGGCCTTTCCCAGGTTCCCTGAGCTGGTGGGAGTTGCAGCCAGGCCTCAAAGTGTCTGCCTCTAAAGCGCTGTTCACTTTTGCCCCGGAAGTGAAGACTCAACACTACCTCGCTATCCCGTTTGGAGCTTCAAGTCCCAGACAGTCCTGAAAGGAGCCATTACCTTCACATCCCAGACCGGGACCAGGGTGTTGTTGCCGTCATAGCAGCAGTCCTGTTTCAGGCACTGGCAGGCCCTCTGAGCCATTATATCCCATCTGTACCCTTCTGCCACATTGTGGGTGGGGTCTGCTGGGTCCAGGATGATGGGCCTGCAACACAGGGAGAGGGCGCCATGTTTCTCCAACTTGGAGGCTGCAAGCCAGGAAGATGACTCCGCCGCCCTGCATTCAAGCCACTGAGCCTCTATATTCCGAGCCCAGGGCTGTCTGTCCGGGAAGGCCCAGAAACAACGCTGGAGAGCAAGACGAGGGAGGCGATCGGTGTTTGTGAGGAATTTTTTGGGGGGAGGGGGTAGAGGCTGAGGCCCCAAGAGGTTTTTTGTTTTTGTTTTTTGAGACAGGGTCTCACTATGTAGTGAGACTGACCAGGAACTCACTATGTAGCTCAGGCTGGTCTCGAACTCACAGCAATCCTCCTGCCTCAGCCTCCCAAGTGCTGGGATCACAGGCATGCGCACCACACCCGGCTAAATTTTGTTTTTGAGACAAGTCTCATTATGCAGCTCAAACCGGTCTCGAACTTGTGGTTAGCCTCCCATTTTAGTCTCCTGAGTGCTGGGATTACAGGTGTGAACCACCACACCTGGTGTGATGTTGAATGATTTGTTTTTGAATTTTTTTTTTAATCACAGGGATCGAATTTAGGACTTTGTGCTTGTGTGGCAAATGTGGTACCACTGAGCGAAATCCCTGGTCCTGTTTTTTGATTTTTTTTTTGGCATTGGTGATCAAACTCTGGACCTTGCACTTACAAGGCAGGCGGCGGCACCACTGAGCTGAATCCCCAGCCCTTGTGTTTGGATTTTTAACACGGGACTTGGAATTAAACCAAGGGCCTTCTCACTGAGTGACATCCCCAGCCCGCTTTTTTCTTTTCTTTAGCCATAAAATCTTGGCTAAGTTGCCCAGACTATGCTCAAACTTGCAATCTTCCTCCTTCAGTCTCCTAGGGTGCTAGGATCAGCATTACATGAATATTATAAAGAGCATTAGCTCAAATGGAGTCCAGTAGCCTGCTCAAGCTTCTTGGGGTGACTGCATGCAGTGTATAACAATCCCAGGAATAAGACTTGGCCTTTGCCCGCCAGGGTTTTCAGCTTCGGAGGTGTGACTGTCTGTGGTGGACTGAGAGCCGGCTCCTGGAGGAAACAGGACCCTTGGGCTCTCTGCCTATCCCAATCCCCTGCTCCCTGGAAGTCCTGCCTGGAATCATAGGGGAGCCATGCAGGGCTACCCCAGGGGGTTCGGGGCACATAACCCGAGTGGCTCAGTCTGTTGGCTGGCAGGCGATCTATCACATAGGACCTGTGTCCACTGGCCGTACAGGCTTCTTCTGAGGTTGGATCAGGGATGACGGAGGCCCTTCAGCAACTGGGAGGAAACGAGGAGCAGGCAGGTGTCGAAGGAAGAGCAGAAGCAAAGGAGAAGAACAGGCGAGGAGGGCAACGTGGAGTCCGTCTCTAGGTCTGCCTAGCTAAGGCCTTGAAGTTATTTTAGGGGCACCTTATAACAAACCCTATCTCCACCAGGAGACCTGTTTTCCTTCCTTGAAAAGCAAAACAAAACCACCATCAAGAGCAAAAAATTCAGTGTTCACATCATGGAATACTAAAACTTCTAATAAAAGACTTGTCTAGTCTGGGTTCCCCTGCAAGCAAATCTCCAGAGTAAAGATCGGCTTATTAGGAAGGTGATTCCCGGAAGCACTAATAAAAGGGGGTGAGAAAGTGACACAGGGGAAGGGAAGGAAGTCAATCAAGGGGGAGTGACAGGGTCATTGCCACTGAGGGCAACTGGAGGTCAGCTCCAGCAGGGAACTCTGGGAAACAGCGGTGGAAGTCAGGCCCCAGAGTCCTTTCATGGTGCGGGGGCTGGGCGTTGGGGTGTCTACCATCTACCACTCCCTCCGTCCAATCACTGATTCAGGGATGCTCCCAGGTTGGGTCTGCTGGTGAGGTGCAGGAGGTGGCAGTTCGAAGTTGAGCCAGCCTTCCCTGACAAGGCTGAGGCCAAGGTACACGAGTTGGGGCACTGGGGACCTGAATTGTGAGAACGAGCATTTTTGCAGAATCTACCACACCCCAGACACTGTGCGTCCTTCACATGTATCTCTGTGACCCTTGTGGCCATCCTGCACTATAGGTGCCGTACCAGGTTATTCCTGTTTTATATATAGATGAGGACCCAAGCTCACGGCACCTAGAAAATGGTAGACCTGAGATTTAAATACGGGTCTCTAAAATTTTCCCCCAGTTTTGCATGCTGTTTTTAAAAAGAGAGGAAATGATCTTCTGTGAGTAAGAGAACTAAGGTAGGGTATAGGGGTGGCTTTTGGCACAAGAAAAAAACTCATAATTCCCTAAGCGACCCACCTGCCCCTGGAAACTTAGTGAGCTGGGAACTTGAAGCACTGTGTTTGTCTGAGATTTCAGCGTCAATTGTGGCCGCTTTACTGTGTCCTGAATAAAGCCAAACCAATAAAACTACGCCATAGGCCCCTCGATGCCTCCCCCCTCTAGTGAGATGTGGTGGGCAAGCAGTGGCCCAGTACCTCTCTTTTTTGAGCTGTTTTCTGACAGCACCCTCGATGACTGGGTGCCGGAGTGTGTAGTACTTGGTCCAGTAAATGCAGATGAGTTCAGTGTCCTGCAACAGTTCCATCACGGTGGTGAGGCCTTCAGCCAAACTGAAGCTCTCCTGCTCCTGGGTGCCCATCTCCCAGGCGTAGATGGTCAGCAGCTCCAGGGCATAGGGAGGAGGCAGGTTGGCCCTGGGGCACTTGGCTTTCACATACTGTTGAAAGACACGAGAGACCCCAAGATTATGTGTGAGGATGGTGTTGGACTAGGAGCTGGAAAATCAAATTCTAGACCTGTTGTTCAACATACTGTAGACAAAGTACCCTTCAGCGGAAGAGCTTCTTGCTGGGAAGGGTAGCACATGCCTATAATCCCAGCACTCCAGGAGGCTGAGGCGGAGGATTGCAAGTTCCAACCCAGCGGAGGCATCGTAATGAATGAGACATCATCCTCAAAATAAGGAAAGGCCCTGTATTCAATCCCCAGCATGGGCTGGGGGGGAGGTGGCAAGGGCTTCTTGGAAAGAGGAAGAGATAATACCTAAGAGGGGAGGTTCTGTAGTGAGCACTGGGATGGCTTCTCTAGCAGACATTCTGTCCTAACCCGCTGCATAGTACGGTTGCTATTTGGGTGGTGTTGACCCTCACTCCCACCCCAAAGTGGGATGTGACTGCATAATCTTTTTCCCTGACAAGTGATGGGTTCAAGAGAGGGCATATGACCTAGGATGGTTCAATTAGAATAAAGCAAAATTATTTTATTAAGTGGTCAAAAGAAGGGACGTCTTGTCATGTATGCATGTGAGGGCAGGAGCACCTGTGGACATTTTGTTACCATGAGGCCAAGTTGACATATAGAGGAGAGAGAATGGAATTATAGGGAAATGGATACAGCCCTCACCAAACACTGCCTAAAGACCCCATTCCAATGTTACGGGTTTTCATAACAAGAGCTGATTAATTTTCTTAATTGCTTAAAATAGTTTGAATCAGCTCTGTGTTTTTCTATAAGTTGAGAAAGAAAGAATCTTTACTGATTGGTCACGTCCTATCTTAAAAACTTCTCTAATATTCGGCTAGAAAGTAAGAGTCTCTATGAAATACTTAGTGATTTGAATTGTAGAAGCAAAACTGACATCTTGTTCATGGCTGTTATAAATAAACACGGCACGTCACACAGTCAGAAGAAAAAAAACATTTTGACCTTGAAACAAACAAAAAACATACAAAAAACCACAGACTCATCTTGTGTAGTTCTCATTCCCCAAATAAATGGAATCTTGAGCCTTTCCTATAAGCCCTGATATACTGTCAAAAACTTTATTCCTGGTGGTGCCGCACCTGCCGGCTGGCAAGACTAAGGTCCTGATTTCAATTCCCAGTACCAAAAAACAAAACAAAAACAAACAACACCAGCAACAACAACAACAACAACAACAAAACTTTACTCCTGACTTAAAAAATTTTTAAATGTGCTCAAATTTATTTATGTTAATGAATTTGCTTTTTATAACCTGGTGAATTCAGTTTTCTGTAACACTAATGAGGGTTTACATTCTTAAAAATTAGATGATTCATAAAATATACAAAGCCTGTAATCATCAAGCTATAATTCTTAGAAGAAAAATGAGGTCTCCATGCCAAGCATTGGCGTATGAGCCTGTAATCCCAGCTACCCAGGAGGCTGAGACAAGAGGATTGCTCGAGCCCAGCAGTTGGAGGCCAGGCTGGAAAAACCTCATTAAAAAAAAAAAAAGAAAAGAAAAGAAAAAGAAAGAAAGAAAGAGAGTCCTACATTTCATTTCTTTTACCATCTTTGATGGACTATTTAATGGGAAAATGAGCCCAGAAAAAAATTAATATTCTTTTCCAGAGCTGCTGAGCAGTGATATTGTGTTAACCTTGTTTTGTCACTGTGACAAAAGCCTGAAGATAACTGCCTTAGAAAGAGGCAGGTTTATTTCGGCTCACAGTTTTGGAGGTTTCAGTCCATGGTTGATTGGCCCTCCTGCTCTTGGGCCTGTGGGGAGGCGGCATATCACGTGACAGCAGATAGCCAAGCCACTCACCTCATGGCAGGACAAGAAAGAGGAGGAAGGGGCTGGGGTCTCCCTCTCTGTCGAGGGCATGGACCTCCAGTGATCTGAACATCTCCCAGCAGTCCCTAACTCTAGTTTCCCCCCCCCCCCACGTAGTACTGGGAATTGAATCTAGGGCCTTTGCATTGAGCTATGTCCCCAGCCTTTTTGTATTTTTTATTTTGAGTTGGGATTTCAATAAGTTGCTAAGTTATTCATCCTCAAATTTGCCATCCTCCTGCCTTAGCCTCGCACAGTGCTGGGATTACAGGCATGTGCTACCATGCCCAGCCTTATTATATATTTTATCTGGTTAAGCCTTTCCTTCTGCCATCTTCTCTCTGTGCAACTTCTCTGAAAGTTCTTATTTAATAAACGATTTTTGTCTGAGTTTCCTTTTGCAGTTGAAAGTTCCACTGAGATTTCCCCCAGGAGAAATCCAAACGTTTGGACAGAACTGTATCTGATTTATGTACCTCACGGGCTGTTTACACTCAGATGTGGCCTTTTCCCAACTCCTAGTGTTTACAGGGACACAGATCCGTAGACTCTTCTAGCTAATCCTGACTCGAAGTAGTTAAAAACAAACTTTACTAGAGAAATTCCTTGACAAATAGTTCAAGTACGGGGATAGAGAAAAAGAAAAACCAGATAAAGAAAGGCACCAAATGACCTTGGTACTTGCCCAAAGAGACTGAAAAAAGAGCCGACAGGCAGGAGGACACAGAGAGAAAGCCAGGTGCGCAAGCCAGTCACTCCCAGCTCGGACAGAATACAGAGGAAACAAAAGCAGAGAGGCCGAAAATGCGAGATGTACCCACACCTGTGCACCGACATATACAAGTATATACATGTGCGGTCACTCTACAATAGTCACTCCGGGGTCATCATAGGGTGAAATAGCCACATGTCCCTTTACTAACTCTAAACTAACCATGAATAAGGTACGCCCATGCCAACCAGCCGCACACCCCAAAGATAGAGTAAACAAACGGACAGGAAGAAGATGAACATACACCAGCAGAAGAAATGACATTAGACAGAGATGTTCAAAAGCAAATCCAGTTATGGCAAGTTCTGGATGGGGGGGTCACTCCCCTGCCAAGCAGCTGGGAACAAAGGGCCCATTGGGCCTCCATCTTTCCCCTGATTCTTTCTTCTGAGAGTAGCTATCTGGCTTCTCCTTTCCTCCCCCTGCCTTTTCCTCTTTACAAATAAAGTGTTTTTCTTTAAACTTTGTCCCTCTCCTTCTTTACTGGGACTGAGTTTGCAATCTCAGTGGGCTGCTTGGACAACAGAGCAGTGCTGCCCATCCCCCTGATGCAACATCTTTGGTTCCCTGACCAGGAGCCAGATGCAGCCCTAAGGTGAAGTTTATGTGGCCATAGCATTTATGGATTACAGGTATGCATCACCATACGCGGCCCTGATTCTTCTTTTTATTTGTATGGATTCACTGTATCTCTATTGTGACAATAGTCTGTAACTCTGGTTTTAGGATTTGACCATTTGGCGGTCTTTATTGGGAGGCAGGTGCCTGGATTAAGTCCCTGGGAGATGGCAGTCATGGGAATTTGGTTGTATTTTGTGCTTTTCTTTCCCTTTTTTTTGTGTGTGTTTCGAGAATTCTGGTATCTCCTGGAAGCCTCATTATTGTCTTTAATGCCTTTATGAATTTAAACCATTCAAAATGTGTGTGTGTGTGTGTGTGTGTGTGTGTGTGTGTGTAGATGGTAGATAGCTCCTAGAAAAGTCCTTCAAGATTTAAGAGCTGACTGGTGGGTTTTTGCTGGGTTTATTTTTGATCCATAATTGAAGTTGTAAAACCAAAGCTGCTAGATCTTTGTGTCTTTATGTGTATAGATGAAAAAAGCATTTTCTAAAAGAGAATTGTCTGATTGCAATCTACTCTATCTGTGGGAGATTTCTTTTTCACCCTCCACTCTAGGATATTTATGGATTGTAGTAGGAAGTAAATTCATGAGTAAACACCGATATCACCACTAATGGGGACTGAATCAAAATTGTGCCAGATTCTTTTATTCTGAAAGCAGACAACTCCATCAAAGCAAATTCTTAACCAAGGAATAATAAAGCAAGAATTAGTTACAAGGAGCCGGGTGTGGTGGTGCACACCTGTAATCCCAGCACTCAGGAGGCTGAGGCAGGAGGATCACTGTGAGTTTGAGACCAGCCTGGGCTACATAGTGAGTCCGGGTCAGTCTCAACTACATAGTGAGACCCTTTCTCAAAAAACC